TGAAGCTGAGGCTTGTTTGATCAGGAGTCAGCCGTGTGAAAGCCTGGAGAATAGCAGTTCAGGCACAGAGACCAGCTGAGGTCCTCCAGGTGTGAATGAACGAGGTAGCTGTGGCTGGTATTGAGTGGAATGGACAGCAGGGAGAGGTGAAATAAAAATCTGAGCAGGATCCAATAGCCCCCAGGAAGGAGTTTTCTTTCTTTCTTTTTGAATAAGACTCCACTGGAAGGTATAATACAGAGGAACAAGGGTTTCCGATTTGAAAAGATCATTCTAGCTGCGAGGTGGAGGATGCTGTCAAGTGGCAGTAGGGGAACCAGTTGTGAGGCTGTTGTGACATCCAGAAGGGGGAGGATGATGGCATGGACTAGGTGGAAACAGAGATGGAGAAGTGTGGTCTTCCCAGCTCTTCTCAGTGTGGTTAGGATGGAGTGGCACCGGCTAAGCGGCCGGATGACTCCAGGCCCTGGGCTGTCTCTTGGCCACCATTCCAGACAGGGCTGGCTTCAACCCAGTCTTATCCAGGGCAGTTTGTAAGTCTTTCCCAAAGCCAGCTGATCCATTTCCCTTCTCCTGCGGTCAGTGTCACTTCTCTTAAAACAGCACGGTTCCTCCCCCCAACTACCAGGACCCCAATATTGCCTTGCAGACCTGGTTAGACCAGATGATGCACAGCAGTACAGATGGGAATTAGAAACGCAGGGAATCTAGGACAGATGAACCTCTCAGGACCAGGGGTGACAGTGGCGATACCAGGAGGGAAAGGGGGTGAAGAAAGGGGGAATGGATCACAGGGAGCTACATATAACCTCCTCTCTGGGGGATGGGCAGCAGAAGGGTGGGTGAAGGGAGACGCCGGACAGTGTAATATAAGATACAATAATAATTTATAAATTATTAAGGGTGCATGGGGGAGAGGGGAGGAGGAAGGGAAGGGGAGGGGGGAAAAAGGAAAATGAGCTGATTCCGGGAACCCAAGAGGCAAGCGAATTTTGGGAATAATGAGGGCAACAAATGTATAGATGTGTTTTATACAATTGATCTATGTATTGTGATGAATTGTATGAGCCCCAATAAATTGATTAAAAAAACAAAACAAAAAAAGAACAGCGCGGGACCCTGGAGATGGGAGAGAGCCTCCGTGTGGCCCTGAAATTTGAGTTCCTGGAGCTGAACAGAAAAGTTAAGTTCACCTGCCTCCATTCCATTCTTCCAAGCTGGTCATGTGTTGAGGGTTTCATTAAACTTTGTATCTTTATGGGGACAGCCTGGCTTTACCATCTGGGTGCTGTAAGAGAATTCCCAGGTGGTCAGCACTCAGCTGCTAACTGAAAGACTGGTGATTTAAGTCTATTCAGAAGTGCCTTGGAAGAAAGGCTGGTGACCTAGTGCAACAGAATCAGCTATCAGAAACCCTATGTGTGATTTCCCCGTGACACACATGGGTCACTATGAGCCAGCGTCAACCGAATGGGACCTAGCTTGGTTTACACTTTTTTCACACCACATTTTCTACCTGGGAGCACACAGGTGAATGTGTACGTGTGACAATACTGGACTTGGTGGGATGGAAGTACAGTGTAGAGTTTGGAAATTTAAATTTCCTTAAATTAGAAGCCTTTAACATAGCAGTTTCTTTTTATATACTCCAGAGCTGTACTCTCTAATATGCTGTCGACACTGCTGCTGCTGTGAGGTGCTGTTAAAGGACACACTGCTCGGCCCCGTGGCATCCTCACAGCTGTTGTTCCGCCTTAGCCCATTGTTGCAGTCATTGTGCCAATTCATCTTGTCAGGGGCCTGCCTTTTTTCCCGTGTGTCTACTTTATCAAGCATGATGTCCTTCTGCAGGGACGGGTCTCTCATGATAATATGACCAACGTCCTTGGGACAAAGGTTTGCCATCCTTGCTTCTAAGGAACATGCTGGCTATTATAGTGATGTCACCGCTTAGTCCAGTTGTGAGGATTTTGTAATCCTTACCGAAGGCTGCAATCCCTGATCTTCATCAGCAAGAGCTTCAAGTGCTCACTTTCAGCAAGCAAGGTTGTGCCCTCTGTATATCGCAGGTTGTTCAGAAGCCTTCCTCTAGTCTTCAGTCCTAATGTGGGGAGCGGATGGGGTCAGAGTGTGGTTAAGCAGGTCTGGTAGGTATGGTGTTTTGAAAAATGGTTGCTAGTCTCCTAGGCATTCTTAGAAGGACACAAGGATTGGATTGAGTCAAACAAGCAAGCAAACAAACAAACAAGAACAACAAAACACTGTAATTGATTTAAGCCTGAGAACCAGAATTGCCAGTTCTGCCAAACTCTAGAGCAAGAAATGAAAATCCAAATATTGACCTATCCTCACCTGAGCTTCACTAGAGCTGACAGAAGTCCCCCTGCAGATGAACCACATGTCAAAATGAGGACGGTTGTGTGCAGGAGGCAGTAAGGGATTCCTGAGATCCCCAGAAGAATGGACACAAACATCAAATCGGTGTGGTGCATTCACTGTGCCATCTGCTGAAAACATTTACGAAAAGCCTGCTGGGTGTGCTGCCAGGTTCTGGCGGTATAGGAGCTCCTGGGAGGTGTGAGCATGGGGTGACCTGCTGTGATATGCGCCCCAGACTGGGAGTGGAGAGCCCTAAGCTACCTTCCACTTTGGGCTCCAAGGACACCCCTGGTGCAGAGATTACCAGGCCACTGTGGGCCTGAGGGCACATCCATTGCAAACGAAGTCAGCTACCAGCACGCATGTTCCCTGAATTCCTGATCCACATGCTCACCTTGCCATTCTCTAGTAAGACCAGAGATTTCGTATTGAGTTGACACAAAGATGGGAGGTTTCTTTTATTTATTTTAACAAAAATACACATTGCTTGTGAAAGCAATTCTGTTCAAAATTTGGCTTGGGCTACATATGGTATCTATGTAAACTGAAACTGGAAGCCTAGAACCTTCTGAGAACTTTACTTGAGCAAGTGGATGGGATTTGCTATTTTTAATTATTTCCTAATTTAAAAGAGCATGCTAGACCATTGCTCTGGTTATCTAACAGAAATAGCAGCAGATGCTATTCAGAAAGTGCTGAAAAGTTGGGCTTAATGTACCAATTGCTGTTTGTTTGTTTTTTAATCAGGAAATCCATGTATGTGATCTCCTGGTTACAAATCATTATTGTAATTTTAAGATATTTGTGTATTGTTCACACCCCCCATTTGTTTCCAAAAGATTTTAAAGGGTCTGAAATTAGAGTGAAAATCATTGAGATTTCAATTACTATTTCCATTCTAAGTTTGGCGTGGAGAACATCAACAAAAACTTCAGCAGTTTAAAATGTGGTATCAAGGTCCCCCTATCAGTGTATTATCTCTTTAGCTCTGAAGCAAATAATGTGGGAGCGACAGAGACTCAGACATTTGCCAGAATTGGAAAAAAATTATGGCAATGAAGAAAAGCAGTCCTTTTAAATCACAAAGCAGATGTCACATTTTCCCTCATTTAGCTACTTCATGCAGAAGGAAAAAAGAAAATTATCATACAAAGTCTTTCAAATTCCTTCATTAAGGAATGTACTATCATCTTGATAGCTATCTATTTTTTTTCTCTCTTCAAATGGAATAAAATATACCTGTTACTATATAGGTCATTGATCTAGAAATAACATTTTAGGCATGCCATCAATTATCGTATCATTTTAAATTTGCATTCAAATAAATGGACGATTTCATTTTATTCTCACCCAGTTCTATGAGATCAGTAGCTAGACCTGGAGATCTGCTCCCATAAAGATTACAGCCTATTAAATCCTGTAGGGCAAGTCTCTATCACGTGGGGTCTGTGAGGGGAAAATCCACTGGACAACAAGAGACCAACAGCCCTTTCACCAGTGGAGGATCTGAGGTCTGAAGAACTTGTGTCTTGTCTGACAGCATGCTTCTGAACAGTAGGAAAGACCAGGGACACGATGGCATTATTATGTATTTATGCAACAGGTAAACATTCACTCTGTGACCAGTGCCTATTGTCTAAAGGCACTGGGTTCGACCCTGAGAGTGAAAGGAGATATGGCTATCCTCTGTCCTCAGGGAGCTTTCAGTCTTGACAGGAGCATCAGACACGTGTGTAAATCATTGTGATGCTCACCGTCCCCAAACCAAAACCCACTGCCAAAAGTAGCCTTCAGTACTGATTACTTGAAATACCTTATTTATATTTTGCTTAATTCTGAAAGCCATAGATTATTCAGGATGAAGATAATGATTGCTCATGTAAAGAGAAGGTATTGTGATCCAATTTTCATCTGTGCATCTCTTAGGCTTAAGAAGCTGCTGCTGTGTCCCTTTCTGTTTAATAACGTTATTTTCACATTGATGAGACAGTAAAAGTGGATGCCAATTCGACAGCCTCTGCGTGTACAATTCAGTGAAGTTGATCACTTTCAAGTTATGCACTTTTTCTCAGTTTTTTCTTCTGTGTCTTTTTCTAGACCTTATTTTATATCACAGGGTTATTTTACATGGCCAAGTATGCACAGTCAAACCCACTGGAGGTATTTCTCTAGCATAACCTTGGGTAGTTGCCCTGCTCATGTATGTTGAAGTCCTCATACCGAGTCCACCTTCCAGAAGTCTGATTACATTTGAATCCCATTCACATGTAGTTCAAAGACAAAGTCGATGAAAAGTATATAATTGGTATTTATGTCTTCCCCCAAACCTCTATACGGCTTCTTGGAAAGTAAGTAGCAGTGAGGGACTGGCAGGGGAGTGAGAAACTTTCAACATACAGTGATGCACTAGTAAGATCAGTGGTAAATGCCAGGCGAAGTAACAAAACTTTGCTACTAAGGTTCCCGTCCATGCATGCACTGGCTTCTTCCAAACAAGAACAGTGCTTGAACATGTCTGTGATTAGTGGTAACTGAAGACAAGTTCTCTCAATAATGCACTTGGCTTAGCCTTGTTTGGTGTCTTTAAAAAAAAAAAAGTCCAATTAAATGAATGATTTCCCAGCCTGTGTGTTGCCCGTTCGCTTTCGGAAACTAGTGAACGTGGTGTCAAAGGCGCAAAGTAAACACCCTGGCAGCCACGTTCTGCTTTTGAATTCAGTTTCTTTGGCATCTGAGCTGCATAAGGAACAGTTAAAAAAAAAAAAAAAAGAAATGAATGATTTCCTAGGCAATCTAAGTTCATGTTGGGCAACTTAAGTTCAAGGCACAGAGGTCAGCTAAGAAGGTTATGATGTCTGGTTTTTGTTTGTTCGTTTGTTTGGGTGATTCCGTGGAGGAGCTCTTGATAGATTTTCTCAAAGGACAAAGGACAATCATAGGGGTTGACGAGGAAGAACTTTCAGAAAAATTGCATTGGTGAGAACTAAGCCGGGGAAGTTGTCTGGAGGGATGTTTTCTATCATGACAATGTACCAGCTGCTCATTCTTCGAGGGTAGCAAGGACTGGCCATGAGAATTTTATGGAGAAACTTTACCCCTTCCAGCTGGCAGCCCTCATCATGATCCTTCACATTTCTTTTTGCATATGAGCAATTGATGGTCTGTTCCACAGTTGGTCCCTAGCCTTATTTGGGCTACTGATACTGCATTTCTCTATTGTCTCTTCCCACAGATGTAGTAAATATGGTTCCTGTGTATTCCATCAGGCAAGGCCCATATGTTTCTGTTGTTGGTAGTAGGGGGCGGAGGGAAGGTGTTTGCAATGAAAGTTCTTGGTCTTGCACAATTCTGTCATGGGATTTCCAGTTTTGTTTCTTTTGTTTTTAATTTGTTTATTTTATTTTATTTAAAAAATAAACATACAGTTTATATATTTTAAATATAAACATAAAATTATTGGGGGCTCATACAATTCTTATCACAATCCATACATATGTCAATTGTATAAAGCACATTTGTACATTCGTTAAACGCATCATTCTCAAAACATTTGCTCTCCACTTAAGCCCCTGGCATCAGTTCCTCATTTTACCCCCCTCCCTCCCTTCACCCCCTCCCTCATGAACCCTTGATAATTTATAAATTATTATTTTGTCATATCTTACACTGTCCGACGTCTCCCTTCACCCACTTTTCTGTTGTC